TGGGCTGAATTGCACAAAACGCATGATCGCACCGGCTAGTCTGGTGCGCGTTGCTATTTATTCCTTACTGTGTTCAAACTTCATGTTTTTGTAGCTGTCAGCACTGAATCAGTTCATTATTCGATTTGAAACTCGTCGAGATTGGCCGCGACTGGCACACAGTTCCTCACTGCGCTCCGGAGTTTTCTATCAGCTGGCACTGCATTCATATCGCAGCCATAAAGTGGATGAAGCCGTACACTATGCAAAGCTTTTCCTTGTTTCAGCGCCCGCTGAGCTTCCCAGCGAAGTATTTTTCTGGGATTGGACTGTATTAGCGTTCGCTGCTACCACGGCTTTTTTCACGGCAAGTTTTCTTGAGTGGTAGGACAATTTTTTTTTTTTTGCAAAGTTCCTTATTTCCTCACATTTTTTTACTGTTTTTTTGTTTAATAAATTTGAATTTTCTGTTATTTTTCTTTTTTTTTAATTTTCAGTTGGATGAAGATGAAATGTTCCATCACTTTGACTGCAGCGTTTTCTCGTTTCGCATGGCACTCCTCCTTGATCCATCTGATCGCTATGTCATATTTAATTTTGGAAGCGCCCTTTATCAGATTAATTCTAGGATGCGCCGTTTCGGAGATAAGGTAAGCACCCGGCGGGTTTTTTACATTTGTCGTAGGTCATCGTGTGCCTTTGAATCCTGATTTGGCTAAATTGCAGCTTGCTATGGACGATCTTCGACGCAAATATGCGGATTGTCGTATACGTGGCCTTCTGGAAGAAAGTGGCCGCCATTTTGCAACATGCGTACTGCGCTTGCCGGATGGTGATGTGGACAAGTGGCGATGCCACTATTTTTTGGCGAAAATTGCTGAAAAGCGAAACGATAAACTGGAAAATGTAATATTACGTTTGCTTGTTGGCAGGATATCTTTGGAGAATTTCCGAAATGATAAGTAACAGCCATTAGAAACGGACGGTCTGAGTGGTGGGGATGGGGGAAGAGGCAAAATGGGTCAAATTGATAAAAAAAATTTTTTTTCCGGAACTCCATCCGCTCTTTCACAGAATCTTCTTTGTCTTAGTACTGGATTTGTTAATTAACTGCATTTAGATTTTCTTCCACTATCACGAATCAGCTCGTCAACTGGAAGCTGCCGGTGTACAGTACCCGAATCGTATCAGTTTGAAAAAACAGGAACATGCTGAAGCGATTGAGGTAAATACATCAAAATTTTACTTTCACAGTCACATTCTATCACTTAAGCGCATTCTGTTACTAGATCCGGGGTTTATCTTCGTCGTTTACAGAACGAATGTGTCTGGGATATTATAATTGGAATGGCATCGGCCCATACCAGGAAGTAAAATCGCTATCCACTTGAATCTAGAGTGATATTCTCGCCAAACAGTCTTACCAGCGAGCGGTTGTTATTGGCATGTGTTACCACCTAGACCATGAGCTCCGTACATCCGTTTCTCAGAAGAAGAGTGGATGTGGAGAGGGGTTTTGATTTTTAGTTTCCTCCCCTCCATTTATATATTGATATAAATAGTTCTTTTTATTTATGGTAATATTTTATTAATGGTAATATATTGTTAGTGTTTGCCGTTAATATGTAAATTGGTCGTTAACAGGGCTTTGCCCCAGTCAGATTTCCTCGATGTTTACTCTAGAGCTGAAAGGGAAAAATCGTAAGTGATTCTTTAAGTTTTTTAAGTAAAATAATTCTTTAAGTAAAAGATCCCACGAGCCGTTTGGGCCCTGTGGGCGGAAGGAATTAGGAAAATAAGGGCTGGACCGGTAAAGGGTGACTCTAACTAAGCCGTGCATAAGGCGGAGTCGATCCTAAATCGTAAGTAAAGTCGTAAGTAAAGTGAAACTTCCTTTTTATGCGTTTTTTGCAGCAATGCAATGCGAAAAACGCATATTGACGAGAGGTTGTCTG